TTGTACAAACGACCACCTGTATGAGACAATCACCTGTACAAACGACCACCTGTATAAGACAATCACCTGTACAAACGGCCACTTTCCATATCCCCCCTCTTTTGAGCTTTTTTTAACCTTATAATGAAACTGTCTAAGACGGCCATATGACCTTGTGCAGTTGCAAGCGACGTAAAACCCCATACTAAAAGAAGACGGCCACCTTTCTCCTACATAACTGGGTGGCTCTGTGTGAGAAAACTGTCCACCACCTTACCTTGTTGTCCATGACCAGGGAGGGCAGGAAGAAGAAGGTGGACTTGCTGAGGGTCATGGTGTGGATGGGGGAGTCGGGCTGCGTCTCACACACCAGGCGAACCTGTGGGGGCGGGGCGGAGACAGACACACAACACGCTCAGCATAGTGGTGGGAACACAAGTGCACACACAAGTTATTCTTACATGTATTAGTTCTTTTTGGTTTTTTTTTAGCTTTTCTGCGATGAAATACTCTGTTCCGTGCCATAGTGCTTGCCTGAGTGAGCGGTTTAGGTTCCAAATCAGGTTTCTTCAGTTTTCAATTTCTAAACAAGGATAACGAGCTAACCACTAGAATACCCACACCACAAGGACAGAAACTGCTCCATTGAAATGATATAGCTCTCGGGGAGAGTGTACCACATGCACATATATATATATAGCAGCCAGAAAAGTTTACTTTTGGTATGTAAGAGTTTTACAACACTTGGAAACACAAATAGTAATGTAAATACCGAAGATTACATGTGTTATTTCTAGAGAGTGACATACAGAGAAAATCAGGAGGAGAGATAGGACAGGAGGATAGATAAGGAGGATAGATAGGAAAGGAGGAGAGATAGGAAAGGAGGAAAGATAAGGAGGATAGATAGGAAAGGAGGACAGATAGGAAAGGAGGAAAGATAAGGAGGATAGATAGGAAAGGAGGATAGATAAGGAGGATAGATAGGACAGGAGGATAGATAAGGAGGATAGATAGGACAGGAGGAGAGATAAGGAGGATAGATAGGAAAGGAGGAGAGATAAGGAGGATAGATAGGAAAGGAGGAGAGATAAGGAGGATAGATGGATGTTAGACAGGAAAGGAGGAGAGAAAAGGAGGGAAGATGTTAGACAGGAAAGGAGGAGAGATAAGGAGGATAGATGTCAGACAGGAAAGGAGGAGAGATAAGGAGGAGAGATATTAGATAGGAAAGGAGGAGAGATAAGGAGGAGAGATAGAAAAGGAGGAGAGATAAGGAGGGTAGATGTTAAACAAGAAAGGAGGAGAGATAAGGAGGATAGATAGGAAAGGAGGAGAGAAAAGGAGGATAGATAGGAAAGGAGGAGAGAAAAGGAGGATAGGTGGATGTTAGACAGGAAAGGAGGAGAGATAAGGAGGATAGATGTTAGACAAGAAAGGAGGAGACAAGTACACCATAGCACCCACCAACCACCCCCTCCAAAAAAAAAAAGCGAAGACTTCTACTCTCTAGATGGACAACAATAGGTTGTCATACGTATAAACATGAGCTCTGGCTTATCTTCCACTCTTTTCTTCATACCTTCAAGGTCGGGAGGAATTTCAGATTGGTCTTCACGTTGCCGCTGATGTCCATCTGGTTCATTCTGCGGAAGGCGATGATGTTGATGTCTGTCAGATCAGCCGACTCCACCTGAGAACGTCACGCAAGTTTCATAATGATAATAATTCTCAGCAATCAAGTAAAATATAACATCAAAACACACACATATCGCACTAAAATGATTTTGATTGATTGAGTAGGTGTTTTACGGCACCATTGACTCAATTTTGGTCATTTAAGTGCCAATAGGTTTCACAACAACCGTACTAAAATAAAAATTGTAATAAAAGTCATAATAATAATTTACAGCAAACAAGTAAAATTATATAAAATCAAAACATAAACATACCATACTAATAATAATAATAAAGAGCATTTATATTACTATATAATATCCTGTATACTGTACACCAAGTGAACCCGGAAAATGCAATATTTGGCCAGTCGGCCACGACCACAGAAGGACAAAGACAACAACACAAAGCTGGGGTCAACAGAACATCTATCAGACATCGATGTCTGCACACGAGAGCTGTCAGCAACAACAAAATATTCCAATATCTAAAGCTTTTCAGTTGTTTTTTCAGAAAAGAGGAAGCACCATCAATACAATAATGGCCAATTAGTGAAAGAAAAAAAGAGATGGACAGACAGACAGACAAACAGACAGATAACCAAACAGGAAGGGGAGAAAAGATGCAGGAGCAACCACAATTAGTGCTGTCCAACACACCACCAAACATAAAACAGACGCGAAACGTGACAACTTAGTTGGATTAATCATTTTACGGCATTTGCAAAAAAATAAGGCCATTTAATTGTTTTGTTTTGTTTTAG